CAAAAGTTAACAAACACTATGAACGTGTTAATCCAACACAGAACAATGCAAAGTATATGTTAACATAGAAATCTGAGTTTTGAAATACTACTGGCAGGGTGTGCTGTGGTGGTGCAGGGGTTAAGCACAACCCACATATAAAGGCTCTAGTTTTCAATGTGGCTGTCGTGGGTTCGCTTCCCGGTCTTCCCCTTCTCTCATTAACCACTTTTTTGTCAATTTACTACCAAATAAAAGCCACTAGAGCAATTAAAACCTTTTTTTCCCAGAAACTGTTGGCCATCAATAATCCCCAAATTCATTTTAAAAGACATTAGATGCCACTTGAATCTACAAAAACACCAGCACCATTTGCAGAATATAATTTACTTTTATTTCAAAACATCAAACAGCACTGACAGCAATATACAAAGGTATATCATGGTACTTTGTACTGAAGGTGAAGTGTGCTTTGAAAGTTCATTGGAAGTGGCCATGAATGGTCTTGTGATCACTGATGGTGAAGTGTCTTTGGTGCTGCTCTTGTTTTTGCCAACATGAAGGAGGAAGGGCTGTCCTGGTTCCACACCAATGAGGAAGGCTTCAACACTGGCTCCCATATTTGGGAAAATGCTAAGAAAACAAATAAATTAACTATATTGAGCACAGCTACATTCAAATAGCAAACGAAGCCAATAAGAAAGTGCTTCTACAAAGATCTAGGATCATTAAAGTAACACATCCCTGCACATATCTGACAACATGGTCCAGTTTGACATGAACTGTTTTAGCATTTTTCTTGTGGCCTTTGGACGTAGGAAGAAGAACATGAACCAACAGAAGAATGCCTGTTTTTTGCAGCCTGGAGAAAAAACAGGAAATATAGCAGAAACATCAGGATAATAAATACATATTTTAAAAAGAAGTGTGAAAAAAAACTAATCAGACCCACCTGTGTGTGTCACCATCATAATCATTCAAATTACTCTGCCCCCTTTAGCCTGTAGGTCAAGCCAATGGTCCAGCAAGAAAACAACTCCGCAGCTAAATAATGTTAACTCAAATGGCCTTCAGATTTTTCTGACAGTTTTAATGTTCAGTTAACCACCCGACACCTCATGCTACCTGCTTGGCTAGCTTTAGCTGCTAACAAAAATAATAAACAGTCGTATGTATATATCGTGATACCCAAACAAATAAACGTACGTTAAGCGAACTATGTATATGAATCGATACTCTTGCGCGAACGGAAAATTAATGCCTCCATAAAAAATAGTCAAAAACATGATCATTTAAACATGGAACTTACCTTGTTATAATAAGCTCCAGACAAGACGTCATACTGCTGCCTCCGCTCCTCAGGCAAACATGTGACGTCACAGATACGTTACAATTGTGGGAGGAGCTGTCTGGTGTTGATGAATTGGTTTTATTTATCTCCAATTCAACTAACACACCAACAATTAACAATTTCAATTAACATACAACACCAACACTGGAAATCTGACACTTTTGAATTTGCTGTGCAGTTTTCTTAAGCACATTTTGTATTTTAAAATGTTCATTTAAAAACTCCAATTCAACCAGACATTATAAAAGTCAATAATTAACGGAGAAAATTTAATGTATTTTTTGTATTTGTCTGAACATTGTTTGACGGACCATCGCACTGAATGCCTGCCCCTTTAAATAAATAAACTAGTCTTTCGGTAAACTCTATATGATTCAGAGAGCTTTAAGGAAGGTGAAAATGTTTTTAATATTTCTACCACCTCTTCATTACAGTCAGCTCTCAATATAGCCACAACTTACGCCGTCATATCCGGTGGCCTTACAGAACTAATAAGGTCACAACTGCGCCTCTGCAAACACATTGTTACATCAAAGCGCTGCCTGCGGCTGTGACGTCACAATTCGCCTATGATCTCATGACTTGAACAGTCCCCTCTGTTGGTCAGTTTGGATCATTTCAGTCCAGGAGCCACTTGTTGTTGGTTGTTTGTTCCAAGAAGAGAAATAAATCAAATCCAAAATGTCTTTCGATGATGTAGAGATGGTGAATGTACTGAGACAGAACCTGGTCTACGGTCCTCCTGGGAAAAAAGACAAGATCAACACCATGGTGTGTGTTATGATTATCAGGACTCTTAGAAACTGCGACATGAACGCCAAACGCATCCTCTCAGAGAGCTGCATGGCGAAGATGAAGAAGCGTCTGAAGAAGCTGATGATTTCCACTGGGGACCCAGACGGAGTTCTGGTCATCATCACCAAAGACAACTTATCGGACATCGTGACAACCGTTTCTGAAACTCTGCACCAGCGGTTCGGCTCGTCTGAAAACATGGTGAAGGCGGCGATGAGGAGAGACGAGGAGTTTGACGAGGCGCTCATTGAAGCTCTGGCAGAGCAGCTTGGAGTGAGAATCCCGGACTGCCACAGACACGATGCCAGCCCAGACCACGAGTCCGATTCCCCGTCTCCGGGATCCAGGCCGACAGCAGACAGCGGCGTCATCTTCTGCTGTCTGCTCCTGAGAAATATGATCAACGTCCCCGAGGAGCTTTACGAGTTCTTCCCGTCAGATGTTCGGAAAATGATGGTGAGCCGTCTGTGCGGGTTGATGGTCCAACAGAACCAGATGACTGCTTCCCAACTCGAGCTGCAGCCAGAAAACCTGAAGCGCATCGCTGCGGCCATTTCCAAGGAAATCCACGAGGCTTTCGGGTCAATCCAGAAACTTTTTAAAGTCGCTCTGCTTGCAAGAAACAGTTTCGACGTCTTGCTTCTGGATTACCTTGAAACCAGAATGAACATCACAAGGAAACCCGAGAACACTCTGGCCCGGATGTTTGGAGCCTTCGACCGGGACCTGGAGAACATCTCCAGGTGGTTCCACCGGCGGCGGACTTCCCGCTATGCAGACCTGTTGTGGTAGCAAGATGGCGCCCCCTCCAGGGACCAGAGGATAACAACAGCTTTTTAAGATGCTGTTGTTCGAGGAACCTATTTTTAAATGTCTTTGAAACGAAACAGTTTCCTGCTTCCATAAAAACTGAGCGGCTCGGTGTTGGAACTAAACCTTCTGGTTTCAATCCCAGCCGACTGTTTCTACTTTTCTTTCTGGGTTTTCTCTGGGTAATCCGGGTTTTCCCTCTTAATCCAAAACCACAGAGTCACTGCTCTCTAAATTATAAAAATAAATCTCTTCAGGATAAAATACAACTTGAGGGAGTTTTAGTCCAATGGTTGGATTTTACACTTTTATTGATTTCTCTAAAGCACTTTCTGCTTCTTTCCTTTCTGAAAAACTCATCCGTGTTTCAAAGCCAGCCAATTATTCCACTTATTTATGGGTTTGAAAAATATATATATAAATAAAGCAATAAAAAATATTTAAGATAAATCCAATAATAATAATAATAATAATAATAATAATAATAATAATAATAACAACAATAATGAATTTAAAATGACTAAAAAGAAAACAAAAAAAATCTATGGAATATTTTATATAACTATGAAGTAAGAATATATAATAAAAACTTAAATGTATAGACAATTAATACACCTGATGTCATAGGGAAAAGGGAAACTCCCAGTTCTCCATCTTTCTCCCAGTTTCCCACTCTGGGCAGGGGGCTCACACCATCTCTCTCTGGCTTTCGTGCTGTCACTGTGAATGAGGTCAAGATATGAATCACATAAGTATTTAGCTAACAAAATAAATATTTAACTTCAGATCTTAATTTGATTCTCCATGAGGGTTGTGTTTTGAGCAAACTCACGTCAAAGGTCATGATGTTCAGACAGAAAAGACAGAAAACATCAAATTTGTTAAAAAAAAATCACTTTATTGATTGCGGTTGCCATGGATACCAACTCTGGCTTTAGATTCACTAAACATGCAGTAAATGTAGTAGTTAGTGAGGCATCTCTTCCAGCTGGTCAAGCTACATCTTCATTCAGACAGCTGACCTTTACAAACACACACACGCATTTGCATTGCTATCTTTGTGGGGACTTTCCATTGACTTCCATTCATTTCTATGGCCTAAACCTTATCCTAACTCTAACCAAAACTCAATTCACACCGTAGTCCTATATCTGACCCAAAAACAGAGTTTCCCCTTGTGGAGACCAGGCTTCGGTCCAACAAGAAGCAGTGGGTCCCCACAACGTAGTGTCAGGGAAATGGTCCCCACAAGGTATTACAAACAAACACACAGACACACACACACACACACACACACACGGCTCGAGGTTCAGCTGCTGCTCTTGCTGTTTCTTTTCTTCTTCTTCTTGGGGATTTGCTTCCCACCGGCTGCTTTGGTTGACCCATCAGACGGTTTACTGGACTCTCCTGGTTCTGGCCCACTGGTCAACTGCTGGACCAGAACCTCTTCCACTGGGAGGACTGGTTTCACCAAACTGGTCTCCTTCAGACGTTCTGTCTCTAAAGCTTCTGGTTCTGGATCCGCCCTGCCTGGTTCTGGATCCGCCCTGCCTGGTTCTGGATCCGCCCTGCCTGGTTCTGGATCCGCCCTGCCTGGTTCTGGATCCGCCCTGCCTGGTTCTGGATCCGCCCTGCCTGGTTCTGAGGTTGCTGACTGTTGGACATTCTCTCTGATTTGTGTCGGACTCTGCTCCACCTCCGGAGGCATAACCGGGTCGGATGGTTCTGACCCGGTTACCTGCAGTTCTGGAGCCTTCAGCAGAACCACAGGTGGATCTTCAGCCTTCTCTTCTCCGCCTTCTGCCTGACCAGGCGCTGAAGCCGGACCTTCCTTGATGTCGGTTCTGGTTTGGAACTGAGCGATGGCGGAGACGATGACATCATCTTCGGCGCTCAGCTCCTTTTTCTCGTCCTGCTCCTCGTTATCGCCCGACGCGGCCAGCAGGGCGGCAGCGAACTCCTGCAGCTTGGCCTGCTCCTGCCGCAGCCGGGCGATGTTCTCCGTCAGAACCGGGTCGTCCTCCTGGAGCTCCTGAAGCCCCTCCAGGTCCGGCATGGCAGCGTCTTCAGGAACTCCAGCGTTCTCTGTGAAGTTGGCTAGCTTGGACGGGAGGCCGGCGCTGGACTGGCGGACCTCTCGGATCTTGTCGTAGAGTCCTTTCCTCTCCTCCTGCAGAGCACGGCAGAGCTTCTCCAGCTTCTGGATCTTCAGGACGAACAGGTTGTACTCTCTGCCTTTCTCTGTTCTCTGCAGAAGAAGAAACAAAATGGAGAGAGTTACGCTAACCAATGCTAACCAATGCTGCTGACGGTGCTCAGTCTGATCACAGAAACTTCCAGATCTAATATCTGGGTTGGGTTCCAGCCTCTGAGATAAGTGGAGATGATTTAATTAGCCAAGTGGTCCACAATGAGGACCTTCTATGCTGCATTCACACCAGCCCTGTTTGGTCCGCTTTAACCCAACTCCGGTCCATCTGCCTCGAACGTCTGGTTCGGTTGGGGAGGTGTGAATGTGTACATGTGTGTCTAGTGCTAGCGGGAGAAATGCCTCATGGTTTTTAGCATAAGAGAAAGAAAAAAATTCTCCAACCGCTAACATCTGACGGCTCTTAATTTCTGTTTCCATTGGTGAAGAAGGAAGTTGCTTGATGAGTCAAAAGACGTACTCAGGTCAGAAAGCGGACTCAAACTCACTCACTCTACAAGAAGGTTTTGGTAACCATAGGAGAGTTTTGTGATTGTGGATCTCTATATGCAGCTCCACTAAATAAAATCTGCCCTGCTGGCCTGATTTGGAGCAGATGGTTGTATTTTCATTTTTTTGCCACTGATCAACGCCTACTGAAGATTGGTGCCCAACATGGGCTCAGAGCCTAAGTGGGACATTTGTGTGAGTGTGAAACCTGTGCAGATATGCTGAATAAAATCTGGTGTTATTTAAACCAGAGAGACTGAGTCCTGGGTGATGATTTCCTTCGTTTCCTGGAGGGAATTCAGAAGCTGATCCAAAGTATCTACAGAACATCACATCGACTTCTCAGCATTTTGGTTCTGATTTACTTCCGGTCCAATCAGCTTACCTCCTCAATCATGTCAATCAGCGTCTTGTTGCAGTTCTCAAACCTGGTCTTCCAAAGGTTTGCCTCCTTTTCCACCTTCTTCATCTTCTCAGTCATCTAAAAACAGAAATATTCAGCTTTATTGCAGTTGTTATGACTCTAATAACGATAGGAATGTGAGCAGATTTGAATGGATCTGGAAGCCGCTCACGTTGTCCATCTCCTGTTTGAAGCGGACGTAGATCTCGTTGCTCTTGGCCAGCGTTGCCTGAAACTCGTCAAACTTCTGAGCGTAGAGCGCCAGCTGCGAACGAACGAGGAGAAAGACGTAAATATGGAAGACAAAAAGATTTTAAGGAGTTCATAAGAGTTTCCTGAGGCTGACGATGGACTTCCAGGTTGTTCTGTCATCACACAGAGAGCTGCTCATTCCTGCTTTTATTGTCATGCATGTCTGATTAAAATGTGGTTCTGGTTCTGAAGGCGCTGAAGTTCTGCTGTCTCCTTCTTTGGTTTTGTCTGCAGATGAGGGGAACCGCCACAAGGAGGCAGCATTTCCTTCAGCACGTTTTCAGACCGTCCTGGATGTTAGTGTGAAGGTTTGGAGTCCTGGCCAGCAGGGGGCGCTGCAGGCGATAATATACCTGTTTTAAACGGCACCGATGTGGACTCGGCAGCTGAACTCGGAACCAAACATTTTCCACATTTTGTCCGTTTCCATAAGTTTGCTGCTCTGCTGGGGTTCAGCGTGACAGAAAACGTGAAGAAGAGCAACCAGCATCATTACAGCTTCATCACCAAACTAACATGATTTTATTCTGGTAATATAATATACTCTCGTAATATTTCTATCTTGTTCTGGTAATATTACAACTTAATTCTTGAATTATTGCAACTTTATTCTCGTTTTATTTCCACTTCAATGTCATATAACTTTATTCAGAGTTTATTCTCATATTTTTCAAATTTATTCTCATATTGTTATGAATTTATTCTTGTATTCTTGCGTCTTTATTCTGAAATGAATATGCCCTTTTTCTATTAATATTACAACTATTGTTGGACAATTTTATTACAATATTATGAATACTTATTGATACCAATAATCTCATATTTTATAACTTTATTCTCAAAATGACTTTATTGTTGCACAACTTTATTCTGACTTTATTCTCACATAATTCCATCTTCTAGGATTATTTTCATTTAGTTGTACAACTATTCTCATATTATTACAAATTTATTCTGGTAAATTACAACTTTATTCTCACATAATTACAACTTTCTTATATTATTTCCATTTAATTCGACTTTATTCTCAAAAAATTATGACCCTATTATTCTTGTTTTGTTGCGACTTTATTCTGGTAACGCAGCACTTTTATTCTCAGATGAATATGCCTTTATTGTTGTGATGAAAGATATTTTAGCCTCTGTTGTTGGATCAGAACCGTCTGGAGGGCAGAGAATCTCCCTCAGGTGATGAGAACCTGCAGCGCCTCATGGATCTGCAGCGTTCTACCTGTCCAGGTGTTCTGGCCGTGAATATTCACCTGTGCCTGCATGACAGTCGCCTGCTCTCTGAGAGTCTTAGCCTGCAGTTTCCACTCAGCGGCCTGAACCAGTAACTGGTCAGAGGGAACAGAAACAGACGCGGTTACAGACGGTCTTTACCTTCTTCTTCATGGCCAGCTCCTGCTCCTTCATAGCGAAGCATTTCTTTGTTTTGTCAATAGCTTCTCTAAGCAACTACGGCAACAGAGACACACAGTCACTCAGTCACAGGGTCTGCTGCACATATGGAAACACATTAGACCATATAATCATCTGCAGTCACCATGAATACATGCAACATGACAGATAGCATGAATGAACTTTGATTCATTGTAATAACTCGAATCTGGATCCTGCAGAAATCATGTTTCATAGAAATCTACCAAAGGTAAAATTACATAGATAAAAATTAACAGCAATAATTAGATTTTATTCTGTCAGACCAGGGGTCCCCAACTCCAGTCCTCCAGGGCTTCCATCCTGCAACGTTTAGATTCACCTCTGCTCCAAAATGGCTGGATCCCTCACCAGCATTCATTCCTCTGCAATAGGCTGGAAACGAGCAGCTTATTAGATCCAGGTGTGTTTGAGCAGAGACGCATCTAAAAGTTACAGGATGGTAACTAGAGGTGGTGATCCCTGTGTCAGAGGAAAACATGGAGGTTCATTTTCACCACCAT